CAGGATTACCCCCTTGTATCCTCAGTTCTGTCATATAGAACAGCTGACTGTCCCAGTAGAAGATTTTCGCATCTACAGTCCTGAGGCAGCTTGTTATCTGGGATTGTCAGAATTCCAGAAAGGCAAAATCCTTTCTCAAGAACATGCTTTGTTTCAAGTCACCCAGTACCTAAGGCATAAGACCATTGTGAGGTGGGGTGGAGGGGGTGGGGGAGAATGTCTTATGGGGACATCTCTAGGGATCTTTGAGGGAGGAATATTCTCCTTGCTTCTCCTGTGGGTGCTCTGGTATGATTTAGGACATGGAGAAAGTGAGTTGGTAGAATTCCCAGTTTTCTCAAATCGGTGAGGCCAGAATACATGACTGCACAACCTTGAAGTAAGGCTTGATGGAACCTCCTACATATTGGCTCAGTATTATACCTACTGTCCCCTCTGTAATTTTCTTGTATCCATCCCAGCCTCAAAGTGAGGAGGGGAAACCCCAAATAGGCCTCTGAGTATTAAATAATTGCCACAAAGCAAGTCAAATTAGAGGTGCAGCTGACCTGAGGGGAATGAGTTTTCTATGGAAAAGAGTAGCTGTAGGAGAGAGGAGTCGTTGTGATAGCTGATAGTAGAGAAAAAATCAGAGCTCACTTAAGAAGTCCTGCCGCCTGCAGCTGTCCGTGCAGGGAGCACTGTCCCCTTCACTGGTAACGCCCTAAGTGGTCGGCTGACGAGGGTGGCGAGGTAAAACCTATGCCATGTAGAAATACTTCTAAAAAAGTGGGTAGAATTTTGAAAAGGAGTTTGGGTACTTGAAAGATAATCTAGAATTACTTAGAAAGTGAACATTCATGAAACACCTTAATCCTGATGATACTACATTACTGAAGTGTACTTTATAAGACACGAATGTGTTTGTGTCCTCACACATGTCTTAAATTCTTTTGGAGGTCGCAATATTTTATAGTTTGCTTTTTAAAGTTTTATATGAGAGTAATAAATATTTGACATAATGAAATTGGATAATATGTGGGGTTTTTCTCATAGCGCAATTGTACAATATCAGTGTTTGTTGTACTTCTGACTTACACAACTACATGAGTAAAAAAAAGTTGGTTTTGCAAAACTATTTGAGAGCTTCATCAGTTTTGCTAAGGGCTTCTTCTCTGATAGTTAATCTGTTCTGAAGCACCTGTCAAACTATAGCCTTGAAGACTGTTTAAATACTAACTCGGATGACTCTTTTTGGATCCTGAGTTGTCTTGGCTTTGATAGAAGTTCTTCAGTATCACTTTTGCAGAGGGACTAAAGTGTTGACTTGGTGGATAAAGAGAAACAAAGGAGTGTTAAACTGAGAGACTGGTTCCAAATAGGAAAAGGAGTACGTCAAGGCTGTATATGGTCACCCTGCTTATTTAACTTCTATGCAGAGTACATCATGAGAATTGCTGGGCTGGAAGAAGCACAAGCTGGAATCAAGATTGCCGGGAGAAATATCAATAACCTCATATATGCAGATGACACCGCCCTTATGGCAGAAAGTGAAGAAGAACTAAAGAGCCTCTTGATGAAAGTGAAAGAGGAGAATGAAAAAGTTGGCTTAAAGCTCAACATTCAGAAAACTAAGATCATGGCATCTGGTCCCATCACCTCATGGGAAATAGATGGGGAGACAGTGGAAACAGTGTCAGACTTTATTTTTTGGGGCTCCAAAATCACTACAGATGGTGACTGCAGCCATGAAATTAAAAGACGCTTACTCCTTGGAAGGAAAGTTATGACCAGCCTAGATAGCATATTAAAAAGCAGAGACATTACTTTGCCAACAAAGGTCCGTCTAGTCAAGGCTATGGCTTTTCCAGTGGTCATGTATGGAGGTGAGATTTGGACAGTGTAGAAAGCTGAGTGCTGAAAAACTGATGCTTTTGAACTCTGGTGTTGGAGAAGACTCTTGAGAGTCCCTTGGGCTGCAAGGAGATCCAACCAGTCTATCCTAAAGGAGGTCAGTCCTGGGTGTTCATTGGAAAGACTGATGCTGAAGCTGAAACTCCAATACTTTGGCCACCTGATGTGAAGAGTTGACTCATTGGAAAAGACCCTGATGCTGGGAGGGTTTGGGGGCATGAGGAGAAGGGGACGCCAGAGGATGAGGTGGCTGGATGGCATCACCGACTCGATGGGCATGAGTTTGAGTAAACTCTGGGAGTTGGTGATGGACAGGGAGGCCTGGTGTGCTGCTATTCATGGTGTCGCAAAGAGTCGGACACAACTGAGCGACAGAACTGAACTGAGACTGAGAGAGATTGAATTTATAAATGGTTAGTTTATGAAAACTTATCTTTCTGTAGTGACAACTAGTTTCTTTTGTACACATATATATGTGATAGGTGGAAAACAGATCCTTTGCACTAAATATACAGAATATACTTGGAAACTTTCTAGAATCTCTTAAAATCCGTTTTTGGTTTTTTTTTTTTTCTATTTTGTCTTAATCTACACCTGTGCCATGCATGATCTTCTAATTATGTAAGTTCTTAGTGCACTGATATATAAAAAGGCAAGACTGCTCTTATTATTATTTCTGAAATGTTCCTTGATGTTTACTTTCTTGTGTGATTATTTTTTCTCATGGGAAAATGCATTAAAAATTTTTTAAAAATATGATCACATATGCTATGTATCTTTACTTGTGGTTTTCAAGCTTAAATCTTTTTTTGCCTGTGCAGGGCCTTTGTTTTGCGCGGGCTTTCTCTGGTTGTGGCAAGCAGGGGCTGCTCTTCCTTATGGTGCCCAGTCTTCTCGTTGCAGAGCACAGACTAGGCATGTGGGCTTAGTAGTTATGGCTCCCAGGCTCTAGAGAATGGGCTCAGTAGTTGTGGCTCTTGGGCTTTCTTCGAGGTATATGGAATCTTCGCAGATCAGGGATCAAACCTGTGTCTCCCGCGTTGGCAGGCGGATTCTTTACCTCTGAGCCACGAGGGAAGCCCCCACAAAAACTTCTTGCCCAAAAGGGTTATAACAGGAAACTGGAATTATCCATTTGGGAACAGGGATGAGCTTTGTGGGAAGAAAACCAAAGATTACCATATTACAGTTATCAGATCTCCTTATTACAAAGCAATGATAGTGATTTGATTTTTGGAAATGCACCTTTTAAATTGATAATTTGGTTCAAAAATTATTTCTTTTTCCACTGTGTTGCTGAATATGAATTATCAAGATGAAGTTATACTACTCTGAAAGATTTCTTGTAAGTTGAATAATGTTTTTCCCAACTCCCTGGCCTAAAGGAGGCCCTCCCTTGAAGGTGATAATAAGTATGGTTCAGATGCCCCACATGTGAACTCTAGGCATCATCTGACTGTCATTCCCCTGTCACATCTCTGCAGCTCCAAGTAGGAGTTCCCACTGGGAGAGAATGAAGAAATAGTGGCCTGCTGCTGCTGCTAAGTCACTGGATAAGTTTAATTCAAGTAGCATAGATAGTGGAAGGCTGAGAGAAGCTTCATTACATTTGTAACATTTAAGTTTCTGTCAGGTACTTAATCCTGAGGTAAATGTGTGTCCTGAAGGTTTTTAAAGGGATTCCCCTTAAAGTTTATTACCGTCGTCTCCATGTGATTTTTCAGAGAGGGTAGGTGGAACTGAATGGTGTGCCAAAAAGAATTCATGATAACTCTCCATATTTAGGGAAAAGTAGTGAGTGCAGTTTATGCCCTGACCAAAGAGGACAGGACTAACTGACTGGGGGCAGTGGCAGTGGGAGACAGTTTCCAGGTGGCTGTGAGCTGTAGCTGAAGCTATCCATGAGGAACTGCTGCTTGTGTGGCTTGAGTGTCTCATTGCTGGATCCTTCGAATCAGTGGTCTGAAGCCATTGGTCATGGGGTTGTGGAGAATTCCTGTGTGGTTCTAAGTGTTATCCAGCCTCTAAGGTCCCTTGCCACTTCGTGCTTTTGTGCACCTATATGTGCAAGTGAGCATGTTTTTACCAGCTTTACCTGTGTGGTGGGCTTCCCTGATTGCTCAGTTGGTAAAGAATCTGCCTGCAATGTAGGAAACCTAGGTTCGAGCCCTAGGTTGGGAAGATCTCCTGGAGAAGGGAAAGGCTACCCACTCCAGTATTCTTGGCTGGAGAATTCCATGGACTCTATAGTCCATGGGGTCCCAAAGAATTGGACACAACTGAGCGACTTTCACTTTCACTTGCTCTATGATAGGAAAGAAAATCATCATTGTGAGCTACTTCAGCTATGGTGTTGGTTTCAGGTTTTGGTGGGCTTTGCCTTTCCTCAGAGACATTGCTGTATTGGGACTGCCTGGAATAAAGGTGGAAGGAAGGGGAGGAGTTTGTTGAGAAGAAAGCTGAGCTGACCTACTCTATTTTAAAAAATTGTTTAAAAAAAGGTGGGATGGTGGGGGAGAAAACTACTTGATTTTGGTCAAGTATGAAAGTGAAAGTGTTAGTCACTCAGTTGCAGCTGACTCTTCACGACCCCATGGACTGTAGCCCTCCACGCTCCTCTGTCCATGGGATTTCCCAGGCAAAAATATCGGAGTGGGTAGCTGTCCTCTTCTCCAGAGGATCTTCCTGACTCAGGGATTGAACCAAGATCTCCTGCATTGCAGGCAGATTCTTTACCGTCTGAGCCACTATACCACAGATTTAAAATAGTGTAATGATGGCTTATTAGAGCTGTGATTTAGGTATAGTTTTGATGTGGTATATGTATATACACATATATAAGTGTGATGGTGGTATACTGCAGTAAGTGTTTTCATATGGCTGGGTAAAATACTTCAGTATGTCTGTTAAATAGCTTTTTTTTTTTTTTTAAAGTTTTAAGATGCTGGGGGAGGGAGGTTTGAGTGACCTGAATGTTTTTACTTGAAAATAAAATCTGTCATATGTTTTCCTTACTGCTGTCAAGTACTACGCATTTCAAAGAATTAAAATATTTTGTAGCAACTGAATGCAGAAGCTGAACTCTCTCCTCCCTTTCTTTCACATAGGTTTCCACTTGAGTGGCACAGTGACAGAACCTGCAATACAATCGGAGCCAGAAACTGTTTGCAACGTGGCCATCAGCTTTGATCGTTGCAAGATTACCTCAGTGACCTGCAGCTGTGGAAACAAGGACATATTTTATTGTGCGCATGTTGTGGCACTGTCTTTATACCGAATCCGCAAGCCAGATCAGGTCAAATTGCATCTTCCCATTTCAGAGACTCTCTTTCAAATGAATAGAGACCAACTACAAAAGTTTGTACAGTATTTGATCACAGTGCACCACACAGAAGTTTTGCCAACTGCTCAAAAATTAGCAGATGAAATTCTTTCCCAGAATTCAGAAATCAACCAAGTACATGGTGAGTATAGACAGTCATTCTGTAGCTTGCTTCTTGGGATTATTGTTCATTTATAAGTTTAATTCTTCTATATAAAAGTAAACTAAATATGAATTAGATCATCAGCATTGCCCTTAGGTAGCTGAGGGTTTAAATTCAGTTTTGCATCTTAAAACATTTCTTCTGAAGTGTTCTATACATTCTCTGAGATACCAAGCCTTTTATGCTCAGAAAGATCTCTCATTTGTTAAAGCTTGGCTCTTAAACATTTATGTATGTATTAATACAGTTTTATCAAATACTAGATATTGGCTATGGTAAACACAAATTCACCCTTGTCAGCTGTTGTCAGTAAACTGACTTGCACATATTCAGAATTTTTTTCATTTTCTTAAAACTGTATTTTTCAAGGCATTAAGTTTCTGATATGATACTGCATGTTAAGAAATAATTTATTCTTAGAAAAACACTAAAATTTGTTTAGAGAGAGTTTAGGATATGACTGTTATTGTGTATAAGAAATCTCAAAAAGAGTTTCTTTTAAGTCTTTTATACACTGAACTTATCTCCCTTATTTGTTAGCATGTATATCAGCTGTCTACATATAGTTGAGATATGAGACCAGTTCACTCAGTCCTATCATTTTAGAAAAGTTCTTCCTTGACATAGAAAGTGTAAATGTTTAAGGAAAGCAGTTTGAGCTCATTTCCTAAAAACTTTTAAAATGGTGAGATGTTAACACAGAAAAGTGCATAAAATATATATGTGCATAGTAATAAAGTGAACCAACACCCGGGCCACGAGATAGACCACGTTTGGCACTTGAGAGGGTTCCACGTGTGCCCCCTTACTTTCTGTTCCTCATGGTAACCATTGCCTGATTTTTCTATGGTAATCACTTCCTTGGTGCTTTGTGTTTTAACGTTAATATCACTAAACACTGGTTTAGTCTTACTTGATTTTAAGCTTTAGGTATCTGACTTCTTTTTTTGGGGGGGGGGGTTACTTACTTGTTAATTTTTGGCTGTGCACTGCTGCATGCAGGCTTCTCACTGCAGCGTCCTCTCTCGTGGAGCACAGGCTCTAGGGCTCAGTAGGTGTGGACCCCGGGCTCGAGAGCACAGGCTCAGTAGTTGCGGCACATGGGCTTAGTTGCTCTGCGGCATGTGGGATCTTCCCAGATCAGAAGATCGAACCCATATTCCCTGCGTTGGCAGGCACATTCTTTACCATTGAGCCACGAGGGAAGCCCCTGTCTGACTTCTTTCATTCAAAATCATGAATGATTTGAATAATCATAAACATCATCTCATGTTTATGAGATTTATTTACATTGCTTCATGTACCATTTAGTTCATTCATTTTCATTGTTCTTAAGCAGCACTAGAAATACCAATAGAAGTGCAGTGTGAACCACATGTATGATTTTAAATGTTTAAAAAGAAACAGGCAAAATTGATTTTAATAATGTTAATCTCAATATACCTAAAAAGTCAATTCAGCATATTCATATTATTCTAACATTCATAAATTCAACAAAAATATTTATATATTTCACTTCTTATTCACATTATTCTTTGAAAATCTGTTTTACACTTAACCACAAGCACATCTCACATCAAACTCTAGCCACATTGCAGGTGTTCAGTAGCCACATGATTAGTAGCTACCTTATTGGAACACTAGCTCTCTAGAGAATATTCTGGGTATGAGGACACCATGATTTATTTGTCCATTTCACTGTTGATGAACCTTGTTTTGAATAAAGCTATGAACATTCTTTTATAAGTCTCCTGGTGTCTTATGATACTTTTAAAATGTCTTTTATGTCAGCAGAAAATCCACATAACCATATTTCTTCTAGCACTCTCCATATCAGTCTCAGCTTTATTAAAGTAGCTGTTACAAGGTGTATAAAGCATTTTACTTGGTAGAGTCTGCCAGTGTTGAGTAACAGGATGGCAAACAACTCTGCCACAGGAGTACCCTGGACCCACCAAAAGCACATGCACTCAAGGACTCTCTAAGTTTAAGTAGGCTTCTGCTCTGTCATACCTTCTGTCTCAATTGTGTTACTGTGTGAAAATTCAGGCCAGCTAACAGTCATCTCAGAGATTTCTCAGGAGCCTATTTGTGGCTTCTTATTAAACATTCACTGAAGACAGAAGAATAGAATATACCATTTCTTCAAACTTTTATGTACTCCCTTTTTTTCCTTTCTTTAAAATTCATAAAATCCACTTGGTCATTTAGTTCTCAGAGTTTTAGTTTAACCAGAGGTCCATACCAAGTCAGTTGTTTGTTCTGCATTTGTCTTCCTTGTTTTAAAGGATAACAACCCCCAGAATTCCTTATCTAAAAGCTTTTAAAATCCATTTCTGCGTCAATATAGTGGGACTAATGAAACAATCTAAGGTTGGATGTAAGAAAGTATTCACATGACATTATATTTCTTTCAGACATTCTAAAATTAGAAGGAAAAAACTAAGGAAATATCAAGGACAGAATGCAGCTTAGCTTTAAACTGAATGTGATTTTCAGATAACTATTGTATGAGAACAGCTCCACGAGAGCAGTGAACTTGAGCAGTTTCTCCTGCCAGCTTTCTCCACTTAATTTATCATCAGATTTGCTCCTAGCCTGGAAATGGGCCAATTACACAAGCTGCCTTCCTGCTTTCCATTCTAGTGTGACAAGTGGCAAAAAAGAAGAGAGTTAGAAAGCAGGCCGTGACCTTAAGTGATGAAATGGGAAATCTGCTCCCTGGAGGGTCTTATTTTAACTGTTAGATTGGTGACTTAGTAGGGGGTGGGATTTAAAATGTTTTGCAGTTATTTGATTACATGGTCCCACCTGCCTCCAGACATCTGTACATTAAGTATCCTCTAACTCATTTTTTAAGCAGTATTTTCTTGCATAGTTTTGAGGATGTATTTTTTCTTTGAGAAAAATGTCTTGAACATGAATATTGAAAAGAGTTCATTTTTCTGTAAGGAAAAGCATCACTTTTACCTAACTAGATAAATAGAGTTAGGATAGGATTTAGATTAGATTTTGTTAGTAGGTATCTTAAAGAGAATGAGGTTTATCTTATCTAAATCCTTTTAAAAAGAAAGCCATAATATAATTTTTAAGTAAATGCAAACTATGCTGCTAACAGTAGGTTTTTCCTTTTCCTTATGAACTTGTCCTAAAGCTTCTTAAAATTCTGTTAGTTGCTTTACTTAACTATTTTGAAATATTTTTTAAAGAACTTTATGCTAAGGAATTAAAAGCTTTTTGACGTCTATTCCAGGCATATTGTTCCTAATAATTTTCTTGTAAGCTACATACTGCAAATTTATAATTGTAATAGTTTGTAGACGAAGAAACCAAGGAGAATGGGTTAGTGACTTATCTAGGATCACAGATTGAGTAAAAGTACTTGAAATACAGACTTAGTTATCATAATTGTTCAGTCCTTGTCAGTTTTTTACATTTCATTTTAGTTTCATAAAATTTTCCACATAATTTTGATTAGATTAAATCAATTATTGTGTGCTAAAAAGTGGCTGTAAGGTAGTTAATTGCTGTTAATGGCCTTCCAGGGAGATTGCCGGTTGTAATTTTGCAATTGATAAGCAAAATTGTTTAACGTGGTTTTGTATTATAATAAAACTTTCTAGCTTCCCTATTCTCCAAAAAAAGAAAAACTATTGTTTTTTCTTAGTGTTTAGAAATTTATTGATTTCTAAATGCTAACCTACTCTCTCGGTTAATTCATCCCAGCCGTTTTTTGGTCTTTCATGCTTCTTATTAATGTATTATAAATTAGTGCATTGTGGTATCTGGACAGAACATTGAAACCTGGAGACCTAGAGTACATTATTATCTCTGCTGTGTATTACCTGTGTTACCCGGGTAAGACTCATTTCTCTCATCTTTAAAATGCTCATAATCTTCACTAACAGCATTGGAAAAATAAATGTTAGTCATACTTACATATGTAAAATATTAAAGAAAAGATAAGAGTTTACCTCATGTTGGGGTACCCATAAGTAGTCATAGTTAAAAAGAAGAGAAAAGAAACCCATTGGGGGTTGGATGATTCCTCTGACTCCTGGCATGTATTTCCTCTTCTACTTGTTTCTCTTTTGTTCTTCCCTTTGGTGACCTCCCTATGGGATAGCCTATACTAGGCAGACCACAACAAAAAGGGACAGATTGAGTGTCACCTGTGGCATTGGTGTCTTCTTGGAACAGAGGGAAAGGATGTCATTTCTGTGGCCCTTTTACCCCCAGTGCTTGACTCAGTCCCCAAAGTATGCTAGATTCATCCCTCATTTCACTGTTGACTGTCGAGAGATACCATCTCAGTCAGCCAAATGTTGAAGGGATGTGCAGTTGACCTTTGAACTGTCTGGGTGTTAGGGACATCAACCATCTGTGCAGTGGGAAATCCACATGTAACTTTTATATAGTTAGTCCTGGGTGCCTGCAGTTCCTCTGTACCCGTGGTTCCTTGTACCCACAGTTCTTCTGTATCTGCAGTTCTGCATCTGTGGATTCAACTGGGGATCATGTAGTACTTAGTATTTATTAATACTGTTGAAAAAAATTCCTCAATAAGTGGACCTGTGCAATTCAAATTCAGTTGTTTGAGTCAGTTCTATTCACATGTCAGGTGAGGGATGACACATGACATATAAGATCTTTTCCACCCCTGCTTCTGTGACTGGTGGTAGTATTTTTATATAGACACACACAGAAGGACCAATGTACGTCTTCTACCCAAGTGTGCATTTGTGTGTTGTTCTTCCATCAGATATTTTGTTTTGTTTCAGCATGGTTTTGTATACAACTAGCAGTATAAATTCCATTCATGCCTGCCTGTCTTGCTTAATTTAGCCTTCAAATACTTCCATATCCCAGCTGTTGTATATATCAATTCATTCAGTCTCCCAGATATTACCAAACAAGCGAATCTATTCAGCCATCCCATGTTTGTTGTGTAGCTTATTTTAACTTGATTTTAAGCTCCA